GGCTGCCAAAAGTTTCGGCGAGGTGTAACACCACTCATGGCGAGCAATCCTTGACCCAGCAAAGCTCCGATGCGTTTGATGGCACGGATAATGGAACAAGGCGCGCGGCGTTTCTCCGGATGCGGCGGCAATTGCGACGACAATATGGGCATGGGTCAAAATTAAACCATCCAGGGGACCGCTAGTTTTAGTCCATGTGTCCACTTACTAGGGCCTAGGGTTTCATATTTGGTACGTATCTTTGACCCACAGCGATATGATTTTGGAACATCTCCGGACTTCAACTCAGCGTTCTGTTTTTTGGTAAAATGGGCTCTGGGTTTACCCCCCTATGCCAAGATGCGGATGGCCGGCCCATGCTTCCTTTGGCTTCGAAAAGGACACCAGACAGAGAGAGCTGAAACGCGCCGCTTCCGCGGTCCGTGATTTTGCAAACGCGCCTACTTCCCACTTGCGTTTCCGAGCATGTTTTGTGTTCATTATGCGAGGGGTCCCTATATTTCCCTTTTTGCTGGTTTTAAGCATCGCCTTGTTGGCCCGTGAAAGGGTGAGTGTCCCTGGGTGGGGGTGATGCTTTAAGGAGACATATAGGGAGCCGTGTTGTGTTCACTGTGTCTAGGGGTTATCAAAGTCAGAAGCCCACCACTTGGGGGGCGACTTGAATAGTGGTAAAGTCATTGGGCCAGTGCTATTTCTCCTGTTGGTTTTACATTCCGGTACATCTAGTATATGCTCATGCACACACTGCACACAGATATAGATGTGTGTTCACCTCTGCACAGATCAGACCAAGACGGAAGAAACGCCGCGCGCGGCGCTTTTTTCATGTGCCGGTCTCACCGACTATTTTCCCACCGCCCGAGAGAGTTCGGAGCACCGGAGCAGAGCCGGGCTTGAGGACTGCCCCCGACTCCAAATGAAAATTCCTGTTTCCTTCGAGCATATATGGAAAAAATGTGTTCCCATGATAGTACCCCCTTTTTGTTCTATAGTCAAAGGTTGACACTATGCCCTAGAATTTTCTGAGTATGAAGAGGTACGTGGACTCAAGGACGCCCTTTGTTTTTCCTTAAGAAACGTGATCCAGGGCTCGGAAAAATGGCAAACACTGTTGCTTCTCTTGTTGTTTTTGTTTTTTGTTGTTGTTCCCCAACAGCTGAAAGCTTTGGGGTCTCAGCCCAGATAGGCTCCGGGGTGGTTCGGGGCGACCCTGAGCTGAGGTTCCACCAGGGTTCCACCAGGGTTCCACCAGGGTTCCACCGGTTCCACCAGGATTCCACCAGGTTCTGCCAAGGGCGGGGTGGTCTGGGGTGGTTTGAGGTGAGGTTCCACGAGGGTTCCACCAGGGTTCCACCAATTTCTTCGAGGGCTGCGGGTTTGAGGAAGGTTTCACGAGGGTTCCGCCAGGGTTCCACCAGGGTTCCAGGCTGCGGGGTGGTCTGGGTGGTTTGAGGTAAGGTTCCACGAGGGTTCCACCAGGGTTCCAGCAATTTCTTCGAGGGCTGGGGTGGTCCGGTTTGAGGAAGGTTCCACAAGGGTTCCACCAGATTTCCACCAGAATTCTGCCAGGGTTTCACCAGGTTCTGCGAGGGCTGCAGGGTGGTCCAAGGTGGTTTGAGGTAAGGTTCCACGAGGGTTCCCAGGTTTCCACCAGGGTTCCACCAGCCCGTCGTGCTCCGGACGAGGGCTCCACCAGGGTTCCACCAATTTCTTCAAGGGTGCGGCGTGGTCCGGGGAAGGCTCCACGAGGGTTCCACCAGGGTTTCACCAGGGTTAGCAGGGTCCCACTGCGGGGTGGTCCGGGGTAGTTTGAGGTAAGGTTGTATGAGGGTTTCAGGGTTCCACAAGATTCTGCGAGGGCTGTGGGCCCTGAGGTTTCACAGGGTTCCACAAAGCTCTGCAAGGATTCCACACGGGTTCCACAAGGCTCCACAATGCTCCACCAAGGGTGTGTCGCGCGCCCGTCGTCTGAAAAGCCATCGGATCAAGATCGCTTTGCTCATGGGCGGAACACTAAGCAAAACCGAAATCAATGGTTTTTAGCACACTTTCACTGTTTTGTGACTTGCTCACTTGCTCAGGCAAATGTTGGCTTTGTGGCAAATCAGATCACGTCGCTGCGGAACTCACGGTGCAGCAGAGTAAATGCTTGGCATTGCTGCTTGGTGGGCTTTGGGTTCCAAGAATTCCACGAGGCTGCGAGGGCTATGAGGTCAGAAGGTTTCCACCAAATTCTGCAAAAGCTATGGGGCAGCCCTGAGGAAAGGTTCCAGCAAAGTTTCACGCTGAGCTCCACGAAATTGGGGCCCGCCCGATTGCACCGTTTCGGCCCGATCGGCCCCGATTGCGCCATCGCGCCCCGATCGGGGCCTGACTCAGTCGGGCCCCGTCAAAGCTGGCATCGCCTAGTTTTGCTATAGATACAGTTGCAATCCGCATACTAAGGAAAACCGGCGTTAAGCTATAATATGGGTGGCTGGGGTTGCACCACGATCGGGGCCCGATTGCACCGTCGGGCCCCGATCGGGCCCCGATTGCACCGTCGGCCCCGATCGGGCCCCGATTGCACCGTCGGGCCCCGATCGGGCCCCGATTGCGCCGTCGGGCCCCGATCGGGCCCCGATTGTGCCGTCGGGCCCCGATCGGGGCCTGAGTCGGGCCCCGTCAATTGTACCAAGCTGGCATCGCCTAGTTTTTGCTATAGATACAGTTGCAATCCGCATGCTAAGGAAAACCGGCGTTGGGCTATAATATGGGTTAACGCTGGGGTTGCACCACGGGACGATCGGGGCCCGATTGCACCGTCGGGCCCCGATCGGGCCCCGATTGCACCGTCGCGCCCCGATCGGGCCCCGATTGCGCCGTCGGGCCCCGATCGGGCCCCGATTGCGCCGTCGGGCCCCGATCAGGGCGAGATTGCGCTGTCACTCGTAGCTTTGCTTTACAAGGCGGCATCCTCAGCAACACCGGCGGTAAGGATGGTCCCGGGGCGTTCCGCGAGGATTCTGGGAGGGTGTGGTGCTGTTGGGGATATCGCCCGAGCTTATTTTTTGTTTTTTCCTTTTTCCTGCGGGGCGCTGACCAAAGCAACTTGTGCCAAGCTGTGGCTTCCATTTGCCGACGATTTCACGACTGGACACCGACATATTTGCTCATGTTTCCCAGGGGACTCTACTGCAAATGAGGGTAGGGAGGTCTTGAGAAGACTACCATTGTTTGCCCAAGCCACCTGTCCACTTCAACTTGGGCAAACGCCAGTGTGGGAGTCTCCCGTCGTGGGGACTAAACGCCACACGGGGAACCAAGCCTCATGGTGAAGCTTGTTGAGAGATGTCCGGAAGCCTTTGCCGGAATGGCGGAAATTCAGAAAGCACTGCCTTTGTGCTTGGACGACCAGCCCTAGAATTTGGTAGCCTCAAAATAGTAAGCCCTTGAGCCGGTGGTGAAACTGGGCAAATCCTAGTTGGGAGACTTGCTATTGCGGTTATTAGCCACTTGCGAAGGGGGTTGGTCTTTCAAGCGAGTTGCAAAAGCTGAGTGTCGCGGCCAATGGGATCCCTATCTCACCCGAATAATCTTGATCATTTTTGAACGTACGAAGTAGATTTCCTCCATCCACGGTTGGTGTTTGGTTCTGCCCAGAGGCTCCCGATTGATTTAGGGCCTTCAATCCTGGTTTTGAGGCCCCCAACCACCACCGGGATGTCTAATGGAGGGGTCGGGTCTTCCATTGAAAGCCGATCGGAGCCTCTGGGTGGGGGCAGGAGCCACAGATTCCAAAAAGATGATGCGCGTCGAGCGTTTCCATCGGCCCTCACTTGAGTCAAGTGCATCTCAGCAAAAACCGCTGCGCTCATCCCTTCAATGCCATGATCCCCCCGAATGGAAAATCGCGACCTGCCGTCAGGAAGCTTTGGTGATTTTCTCCTATTCCTTTGGTTGGTCCTTCCATTGCGTAAGATATGATTGATTTTGAAGGGAAGTTATCACTGCTGGAAATATTTCATCTTTTCCCAGGGGACTGAAGCAAATCAAAGGGTCTGTGACAATGATCAGGAGAGTGGACCTTTGCTTGACCCACCCAACCACCCAACAGCCACCCAACCCCCCTAGCAAAGTTCTTAGAGCCATTTCTGGGGAAGGTTTAAAGGCTTCCCACTCCAAGTGCTCGGCTTGTTTCAGTTGGTATAACATTTGAAGAACCTGATGTTGCATGGCAAATACTCTCTTTAGTCAGGGGTGGACACCATACCCTATCGTACCCTGAACAAACAAGGTAATTATTGGACAAGGTGGACTACCAAATTAGCCGCAATCCAAGCCTCAATTGGATGGTTTGAGCGCAACTCACAAGGGTATTGTACAAATCAGCAGCTCACCAGAAAAGGAGGAAAGAGTGCGCACGCGGCAGAGGCTGGGTTTACTCAGGCAGGATTTTTCCTCGAAGCATCTTCCCGTGTTCCTCTGAATTAAACACTGTTTGGGTAAATGTTTGAGTAAAACATTTGAGTGGTAAACAGAAAGTTTTGACTTTCTGACCAATCCACTCAGGAAGTGAGTTTAGTGGCAGACACAAAGTGTGTACTTCTTTGACACCCTCACCCACTCGGCAAGTGAGTGGTGCAAAACCAACTGAGACTTGATACTCCCCATGTCTTGACCAGCTGACCTGGTCATGCAGGTCCTGTACTTGATCTTGGGGACCCCTTCCAAGTTTGGAATTAATGTGGGGCTCCTCCAAAACTAGTATTTCCGTGGTTCAGAATTGGGGTAGAACAACTAATCCTAGTGCCCTTTCACCTTTTGTTTGGGGAGGGTTCCCCTACCAAAATAGACTACAGAAAAAAGTTGGTACCCTTATTCTAACCTCTCTACTGGAGGACCTAGAATCAGTAACTGGTATGTTTTTCTGTGTACCCCCTTTTTTCCTGGGCCAAGATCACAAGCAGTTTTTCAGCAGAACCCAAGTCAAATCGCTGGGCTTTGTCCCGGTTTCGCAGGCAGCTACGTGAAGAAGATGGAGAAGATGCTTCGAGCCCGGTCACCCAGTTTCTGTTTTGCTTCGTTGCGGATCCCTTCACTTGCCTTGGTGGCAAGCCCAGCCATCCGGTTTAGTGGTAGTTTCCATGTACCCCACAAGTTCAACTTTTAGTGGGGGATTTGCAATCGGTGCGATAGGCAGGGAATGAGAAATGGAATGAATCCAGGCTTTGGTCCCCGAATAAAGGACACCACCAGTTGGATGGTTTATAGGGTCATTCCTTGCCTCATTCCCTGCCTATCGCACCGATCGCAAGTTAGAGACATGGATGGGTTGATCAATATTCCATTTATAAAGCCCCAGTTTTGACCATGGGTATCCTTTCCCATATTGAATTGATCATTGTTTCAGTGGTGTCCCAACCAATGCTGTCATCCCATGTACATGGCTGTTGTTGGGAAACACTTCGCATGTTTGCCTATTGTGGTGTAGTGGTTGAAATCCCCACTAAACTGCTAACATATTTTGGTTTGCTTCCCTTCTAACGTCAAGCAAGTGTATTTCGGAGCATTTGATCAGCCCCCACGTGTTCTCCACACATCGAACGGACGAGGCGAAGAAGAAAGATCCGAGCCGCGAGCGGAGTGAGCTGTGAGGTAGGTCTCTCCGGGGTCCCGAGGTATATGCCTTTGCCTTGTTGGGTTGGATTTAACTTTTTGGGGAAATCAAGTTGGGTTTTCCGCCAAACCCACAATACGTTATAAGAGCGTTTTGCGGAGGGGTCAACAGCAACCAAGTTGCTGGCTTCAAGCATGACATTTGAGCCAAGCGTCGGTCAGGTTCCAAGCGCAAGAGGCTTTTGAGCTTTGAACACTCGCCAAGTGTAGGTGATGCCAACTTTTACCGTTTCTTTTTTGGTTGGGAGATTCGGTTCCCCTGAAAAAGGGTAGCCTTATTCTAACCTCCCCACTGGAGGACCTGGTTGACCCACTTTAGTGGCAAGGACTTCTGAGACTTGTTTGGCCAACCCGCTTGATCGGAAGTGCGTTTCCAGCGGCACTCAGACAGGTTTTTCCTCGGGTGGGCTTCCCTTGGACCACCTAAAGCCCCTTCATCTCGAGGCTATTTTCTGTTCGAACAGCCGTGCCTTGCCGTTTGGGGACTCGAGGACTGGAGATCGCCACTTATCTTTCACGTTTTGGAGAAGGTGTGAACCAGACATTCGCGGAAGTGGGTTAAGTTAAAACCGATCAGTTCTCAACTGACGAACTTGGAAAATCGAACAAAGCGGGAACTTCTCTCCACTCAAGTGAACTTTGGTCTCTTGGAGCAGTTCTTCTACCAGTGTTCTAGGGATACCTTCCAATTCCATTCTTTCCAGGGATCCGAATCTTTTCAGGAAGCCATCAAAAACACAGAATAAACAAAATGATCGGTTTTTGAAATCGCCGAATTGGGAGGAACCCTCGGAACCAGCTGTCCCGCTGTCCCGAATTCGGAGTTCTCAATGGCATTCGTTCCAAACCCGCCTGAGAGACTTCGCGCGTAGCCGTTGGTTTGCTCACTTGCAAGCGGCCAAGCATCACTGGCCCGGATCGCTGACCTGTCATCTGTTCACCTGAAAGCCGAACTGTACCTGGGTGATTTGCAAAGCTGCACCTTGTCGTTGCCTCACCTTTTTGTACAATAAGGAGTTCTCTTGGTCTGTGTGGATGGTAACCTTGTCCCAACCCAAATCCTTGACCCACTACGAGATCGCCCTTTCAACCAGCCGAAGCTTGCTAACTTCTGGGGTGGCGCATCTGGCCCTGACATGAAATCTCTCTTTCAATGGTCGGCATTGGATCTGACCGTGGACCAGAATCACTATTTGGCTCGGGGCCGGAAGCTTAGGCAGCAACCCTCAAAGGGTTTCACTCTATTTGTTTTGGCGCTTCGGTTGAGCTTCTGGTTGTCTTGTCGAGCACCGAGTAGGTTGGTATTGGTTTGGTGCCCCCCCCGACCAAATCATGTTGACCCCATATGAATCAATCCCTGTATATTTATAGAGGGGGGGGGTGCTGTGTCCCCTCTCTCGTTTGGACACAGCAGCAACTTCCATTTGCTTGCGTCGTTGCTGTTGGCATGTTTTCAGGCTTTTCGAAATATATGTGTTTGCTCATTGTTAATGGGGGCCCGCAAAAAAAAACAAAGTTTGTTGCTACCATCCCAATGGTTGTAAAGCTCAAGGATAATGTTGACCTATGATTAATAATTGCGCCCGCCCCCCCCCGAATGACCATAAATAAAGATTAGGGGAGAATTTTAAGGGTCGGGATGTGTTTAAAGGAGTTTAGCATTCATAGTTTCATGTGTTTTTCACCTGGGAAAAAACGGTTAGCACTATTTAGGGTCATTTTATTATTGGATTGGGGCAGCCAGCTAGCAGTTTTTAGGGTCATTTGACTAATCGTACTGTGGATGGACGAAATCCTGCACCACCTAAGAAGCCCTGGAATGATCATTCCCCTGTATATAACAACAGCCCATGGCTTCCCAGAGTTTCAAAGTGGTGCGAAATGGAGTTCGTCCATCCACAGTAGGTTAACATTATTTTTCTCTTTTGGATTTGAAGCTTACCTCTTAAAAACACAACTTTTCAACTTATTGGGTAACATGGGCTATATGTCTGTAAAAGATAAACTTCCCCAGGGCTTGGAGTTTTAAGGGGTAAGGAAGGGAATCTATCACTAGGCCCGGTGTTTCAAAGGACTGGAAGGCAATTGGAAGGCAACAGTCAGCATTCAGCGGCATGCACCCAGGGAATCTCATAGGGTACCACTCAACTTACTTCCATGAAGGGGCCGGAAGAAAAAAAGCTCCCATGTTAGCTGAGGACGCAACATGTTTTGGTCAACACAAAACGTGATCACCCGTTATTCATCTGCATATCTTATGGCAAGCTCATTATTTGGGGCCAAAACAAGCTTACCATGATGAAGGTCCTGTACTTGTGGATCCGATTCTTATTTCAGGTATTGAAATGATTGCACACGTTGCATGCGATTTCCAATGGCAACTAGGTCCCCCCAGTAGTACCCTTTTACCAACTTTTTGGGTTGGGAGGGTTACCCTACTAATTAGACTACAGAAAAAAAAAGGTACCCTTATTCTAACCTCTCTACTGGAGGACCTAGGCAAGTGAGTGAATGACCGTTGCTTTCCATTCAGATGGGCAACCGCTGGATCCCATGCTGTCCACGCCAGTATCGGGCGCCAGCTGCAGACATCTCGAGCGGAGACAAAACTTGGCTCAGACTGGCACACCTTCCGTCTCCGAAACTATGGAAGCGTCCATTTGCTTTGAGACTATGTGATTGTTCTTGCTTGGTTTTGTTTCCTGTTGGTTTTAGAGAGAATCTATCACATACTGGGTTGCTCGTTTACAACCAACGCCCAATGGCTTCCTCTTGCTTGCTACTGGAGGTTTGGGGCAAAGTTTTACAAGTTCTGGTTTGCTAAATATGGCTATCAGGACACCAGCAGTTTTGTTCAGCTGGGGAGCAGCAGCTGAAACTATCTACTTGATGACCAGCCCACGTGGTCAGTGGCTTGTAGTGCTAGAATTAAGCCCAGTGTTTGGCCTTGCTTGCCCTACAACCAACTTGAGGGATGTACTCATCGTGGTTACTGCCACCTTACTACTGGGGTGGACGAGAGGAACCGTTTTCCTCTTCCCCTGCTGGCTTTCCTCGCTGCCTGGCTTCTGAGATGTCCGGAAACTAACATGTCACCGGCGCTTCAAAGCTTTCTGTTTAGCACCCCCGATTTTTCAGAAAGCCAGCACCACCGGGTTTCTAGAATTATTCGCCAACTGAACATCAGGGATCCCTACTGAAGCAGTTAGGAATCCTAGTTATACCCCCATTTCGGGGACTTGGCAGAGTTAGATGAGTTAGAGGCCCAGGGCAACCAACCGCTTACTCGCATGATTTGGGCCAGGAATCCAGAACGTGAAAGAAGAATTAGATCTAACAACTAACACCACAACATGAAGCTATAGCACTGGATCAAATCAAGGACCACTTAGCAGGGTTACTTGTCCAGAGTTTTGGGTGACTGATTTACTTCATTTCTGTTGTTCAAGGGTTGACAAATCATACGCCATACGGTATTTGGTGCATGGAGAGTTGTGGCTAAGTCTAAATCAGGTAATGCTGTGGATTGGTTTGGGGATTTGAACCCATGGTATTTGTTGAGGGAAAATAAAATGTTCACCCCAAACCACCGATGCGGCTTCAAAAAGGGATGCTGACTAGAAGCTTTTGTTGCTCATTCTGGTGTCCTGTCGGCTTCCATTTAAAGCGACCCCCAAAAGGGCACCACCCAAAACTGGCTGGTGCGAGAAGTAGGGAATTTTCTGGAAATGAACCGGTTTTGGGGGATTCCCTCAAAGGACACTCTAGGGGATGGTTTTTCTTGAGGTCTTTCCATTTCTCATTCCCTGCTGAGCCTCTCTACTGCAGGACCTAGCAGCGGATCCCTGTGGGTCGAGTTTTCGGGGCTAGCTCAGGCGCCTGGCCGCTCTCTTCCGCTTGGCCGCTCTCGCCGAGAATGCGCCAAGAGCTCAGCGTGGCGGGAAGGATGTGAGCCGAAGGTGGTATCCCTCCCAACGTGTTTGCTTAGAAACGATCGAACCATACTGCTTGCTTGTTTTACACAACATAACACTATTGTGTGTGTTGTTGTTTTTCACCCCCGTTTTGAGTTTGTGTTGATCAAATAAGTCAGGTGCTTAGGTTGGTGTTGATGTTGATCTAAAACATGCAGCGTTGGGCATGTTTGAAGGAAATGAAAAGAAGGGGAGAGCCCTCTCCCCCGAACGCACACCCCTAGCTTATTCACCGGGTTATCGACAACGTACCGAGTGGGGTGGCCATCAAAGTACAACCCCCCTGTCCCCAAGCACACCACCCAAGCACAACCATTTGGGGAATAAATGGACCAAAACAGCAGGTGGATTTGGAGGGGTCCACCCCCCCCCCTTTAGGGTCTCCACAAAACATGTTTCTTTAGACATTGACATGGTTGTCCCAAAGGCTAGGTCTCAACAATCGGGGCCCCTAGAGACACGGTAGCCTTTGGGCACGGTTTGTGTGAAAGGGGACAAACCTCAAAAGGTCCCAGAGTCCCACAAGACACAAACCGAGAGGTGTCCCTCGTTTTGATACATTGGACCCTCCCACTAGCCATGTTGTCTACGGTGTGATGTCAAATGACGTCAGCCTCCGACTCAAAACTCAGTTGTTCAGTGGCTCCAATTCTTTTTCCCCTTTTTTTTGGTGGCTGCCCCACTAAAATGGTCCAAGCCCCCAAGAAAGGGTCCCCTTTTTTCCCCAGGGTCACTGAGCAACTGAGAAAAAGGAGGTAGTTACCATAGCCTGTTCCTTGGAACCTGTGGGTAGTATTACCTCACGAAAAGAGGAGGTTGCCATAGGGGATCCCAGTTACCTATGTAGGCAACCAGCCATTGTCCTTGTGGTTTTTAGACGCTCGTTCCCCTTTTTGTTACCGAAAACCGGGGGCTATGGAATGATTGGCATAGAAAACCTGACTCTTCAAACTCCTCAAGAAACCAGCGCCGGGTATTTCCGGTACATTTTGTTCACCGGTCCCGCCGGGATCGGCGGATCGGCGATGGAAAGAGGCGGATCGGCGACTGCGACCTGCAGCTCCTGCTGACGCTGCACCGCCAGGCAGAAGCGTTCCACCGAAGTGATGGCCCGGAATCGGATCCCGTTTAAGCGATGAAGGGCCGGTTCTGTCTCCGAAACGATGCGATGCGTTTGGAGTAGGCAAAATTCAGAGCGCCCAACAACAATACCCTCCATTTCTGGGATCTCCGAAAGGGGGTGTGTCTCAAAATAGGAAATGGACGGTTACGGGGTGGTCTCCAATTAGAGCCAAATCCAAATCCAAACCGCCAGGACAAACCACCAACCGGACGGACTACCTGATAAATATCCAAGAGTCAGAACACTTCTTTTTGGAGCCCAGAAGTCCAAGTGTTGGGCTACACACAGGGTTGTGGGATCAAGGGGTTTCTGCCCACTTCTGTGATACAAGGGAATCTCCCCCTTTATATGGAGGGTTAGTCTTTGGGAAGCCCTTTTTGTTGTATCACAGAAGTGGATTCCGTTTCCCACAGCCGTGGCCACACATGTTGAAGTACCCCTTTGGTGGGGTGAAACGCGCGCTCGCTTGGTCAGTGGTTCATGTTTTACCTAAAGCCAAACCAAGGGCGGTCGGCATTTGGCTGTGGGTCAAAACCAATGGGATCCCATTTTGGGGTAGGTGCACCACCCATTTGGGTTGTCAAACGATATGGCTGTGGTTGTCAAAACCGTTTTGGGTCCCATGTTGGAGGATTGGTGAATTCATAGAACCTATTTTAGTGGTTGAATCGGATGTTCACCGGGGGATTGCGATTTGGATTTCGACCCATGGGCATGTGTGGGCCAATGGAACCGCTCGAGCGTACAGTGCGGATGACACGCCGATGAGTCTCTCACTCCCTGAGATCCGGTTGTCAGACTTTTGTTTTTTGGGTTTGGACCACTTGGACCACTTGGGATGGTTGAAACCCTGAAAGTACTCGGATGAACCAACTTGTGGCATTTGCCATGTGTTGTTTTACACAAATTCCCCCGTCATTTCAGTCAGGTGAGCTCAGTTTCGTGCTTTTTTTGGGCGGGAGCCAAGGATTTTCAGGATTCAGCTGCTCGAAGCAAAACTCAAACCCACCGGGCCTCAAGTGACCGAAGCGTCCAATTCAACCAACTCCTTGGCTTCCATTCCCTGAGGATCCATGTTGGCCATATTTGCTGAGGGGATTTGCTGACAAATATTTGTTTGGTGTTTTTCTGCTTCTTCTTTTTTCCTTGTTGGTTTTAAAGGGAATCTATCACTACTGGAATTATCTTCATTGCTTCGCGGGCTTGAGCAAATGGCAGTTGGGGGTCTTTGGTCGGTTTTCGTGGACAAACCTGCGTCCAATTCAACCAACTCCTTGGGCCCCAGTCTTGGGTCGGTTTGCATGTTAAAAGCCTTTGTGGAGGTCTTTGGAGGACACATGTGTGGGTTTCCCAAACACAGCCCACATCTGGAAGGGGCTGCGAAGGGCCGGGAATCCAATAAGGTTCCGCAGCGAAGTGGAGTGCAGCTTGACAGCTAGAAAGAAGATCGTGCAATGTTCCATACATCGCCTTTTGCAAGGGCTGAAGGGGCATGAGCCCCTAGTTTATGGGTTACTTGACCCTTATGTCATGGCTGCATCATGGGACATCAGCCTCGAATAAAGGGTCCAAATGGCCATGGGTCGCAAGATGGACCCATATAATCAGCTGACTGTTGGGCCAATTCAGTCTGAGTTTTCTTTGGGGGTGATGTTAGGGGAAGTAACTCGGGAGCGCCCACGTCGTGTCGGAAGACCTTGTTGAGAGGTGGAGCCGGTGGTTTCCGAGATCACGGAGATCCACTTTAACTTCACCAGCGGGCGTCATGTCGAGGCGGGCCTTTGGGTTTTCCCGATGCGGGTGGCTCGTCTTTGTTGGAGTTGGTACTTGAGTGCTTGGCCAAGTTAGGAAGTGGTTTGCAACCTGGGTTACAACCCACCTACAACCTGCCCAAGTCACTCAGAAGTAGATTGTAGCCTAGGTCTGTTTTGGAGTCGGTAGCCATTTTGGGAACTTTAAAAGCAAACCAACCGGAACACCCGCCAGTTTGAGTTTTTTTGGAGTTGGTACCCTTTGTTCTGTGGCAAAGGGAGACCGAAAGGAAACCCACCAGTCTGGGGTTCCCCCACCAACAGACACACCCATATGAAGCTGGTTCCCCACATTTGCGGTGAAGTGAATTGTCAATGTGACAAAGTAGACGCAGTGAGGGCGATACGCAACTTACCAAGCAGGAAGGGCGTCGCATGTTTGCATTATCCTTCCCAACCCTCAGGCGTGAAGTAAGTACCAGGAACGCATTCAGCGATTTGATATTTCGTCATGGCTGCCAGTTTCTTATTGCGTCTTCGTTGGCTTTGCTGCCTTGCTCATGAGTGGCGTTTTTGAAGCCACGTGCCCTCTTTTGTCCATGGCTTGGGTTGTCTAGGGACACAACCTTTGGGGAACAGGCGATGTCTATGACTCCCACGGTCCAGGCTTTGCTCCATTGCAATTTTCGGTGAGTTCCATGGACCCCGATGATCACCGAGCAAGTGCCTTATTGGTCGCTAGAATCCGCCCCTGTTGGAATGCGGGGTTGGGGCCTTGGGGGGGGGGCCGGAGGTATGAGCTGACAATATCAACCCAATGAAGAGGGGGCATATCCCATTTGAGGCTAACCTTCATTCGAGTATGTGTCAAATTAGGACACGCAGAATGGGTGTCCTTTGGCTTCCGGTTAAACTAGTCCCAAACAGAGTACGCAGAAAATGGCACAGCCGCATAGCCGCATTTGCTGCTTGATCCAAGGTCATGTCGAGAAGCCCATGCGATTTCTCGAGCAAGGAACCATGCCCCTGCTTCAAACACCCGCTTTGTATCTTGAACAAGGGTTTCATGTCCGAAGGCCTTCTGATTCAGTCAGCACGCCCTGAAAAACAAGCCGAGGGAAACAGGCGGGTTTCCGAGCCATGCCCCTTTTTTGGAAAGTTCCCCCCCTTGAAAAAAACAGCCTTCTGTTTTACAGACCCAGCGAAAACAAGAAGACCGTCATGGGATTAGTTGGGTGTGCCGTTTTTTGGTGGTACTCCTTTTTCGTGATTTTAGAGACTAGGTCCCCCAGTAGTGCCCTTTTTTTTTTCCCCCTTGTTTGGGGCCGGGTTCCCCTACTAAAATAGACTACATAAAAAGTTGGTGCCCTTATTCTCTCCTCTCTACTGGAGGACCTGGGAAAGGACACCAAAGGAACGCCACCATTTTGAGGGGTCCCAGAGAAATGACACCCTCAGTTCTGTCCGCCAGGTGACTGAGATCATCTCCATGTTCCAGGTGGATCGGATCTGCCGAGACCTCACTCGACTCAGAGCCGAGACTGGGGAGAGTTCGGCCTTTGCTCCAAAAACCAAGGTTTGTTTACAGGCAGGAGGGCAACCCCTGACCAAAAAATGTTTTGTTGTTTTTTGTTTTTGTTTGCCATGGTAAACCCGGTTGTTCAACATGCACCCTCAAAGAGAGGCAGGCCTGGGGGGGAATTCAGGATGTTTGTCTGTGGTTGGAGCTTGGCGGGTGTTGAATGGACAAGCCATCCAACTTGTTGGGGGCGAAAGCCGCAGAGGTCTCCATGTTGGAACCTCAGACTGAACCCAACACGCTCCAAATCCGAGTTGTTCCACCTGAATTTGGTTTCACTGGCGCTCTAGTCGTTTGTGATAGAGATATTTATGCATATGGTTTCCCGAGGAGCCTTTAAGCCTTGGAGTCGGAACCTCGGGCTGAGGTACATCAGGTAACCCTTACTTGGCGTTTTGGGGAGTTGAAATATTGTTTATGAAATTGTATTTTAGGATTGTTTGGATTACTCCGGAGCTTGTTTGGGTTGAGATTTGTTATTTGTTGGGGGAAATAAGAATATTATTGTGGTTCTTTGCTGGGAAGCTTCCTAACCCACCAAGTAAGGGGTATCTGACCGCAGGGTACAGGTCAACCAAGTTCAACCTGAATTTAAGAATTCGCGGGGCGCAGGAGGTCCCAGTTGGGTCAAACGTGCGGAGGGCAATCCAAGTATTTGCCTTGTTTGGGAGCTTTCAGGAAGTGGCGGGAACTTGTCAACTTGTTTGCGTTTGACACTTGTTGCGAGAAAAGTGTTGCACAAGTGGAATGACATGGGATCCACCAACTCATGAACGGTTTAGCTGATACATGTTCTATCGGTTTCTCATGGTTATATGGTGGGATACTCATTATGTAACCGCCCCAATAGTAAGTGGCACTAACCCCGACTGGGAATCGCTCACAAAGCGGCTTGTGTGAAAGATATCCAAGTTGTTTGTCCACCTAACTGGTGCCAGTAGATCCCCAGCCAACAGTAGCCAACCAGACAGTTTCCTTGTCTCAGTTGCCCAAAGCCGCCCGTTTGACCTTTTGGTTTCACCGGCATCCAAGTGGAGTTTAACCCTACAAAACCAAACTGGCTGGGTTTAAGGGACGGATAACGAAATGCATGACCATTTACACACTGATCAATCAGCAAACGGTTGCAAACGGTTGCATACTGGTTTGGTTTCCAATCATCAGCCAGCTATACACTCTGCTATTCACTTTCACTTTTTGGATACCCTCATATTTCCTTCCCTGCAACAGGGACGGCACCCAGGTCAACGGAACCACTGGTTCCGTATGAGAACCGCTCCCGTTTTGTGTTTACCTCAGCCAGCAAGGCCGAAGCGTGATGTCAGTGGTGGAGCCCAGCGCTAAGCGCGCGTCACTGAGCGTTGTGCGTGGCTTTTCCACATCCCCCAGCCGGGTATGGTGTCAAGATCAAAGCACCAGGATATGATTCCGTTTGCCAGCCCATTTTGGGTACACTATTGGCCCATGCTTGCTTCCACATCCTCTTGCGCTCAAGCGTGGGTAATTGGGGGAGGGGGAATTGGAGTCGACCCCTGGAGATCTCCATCTCTCACAACCCATTTTCCCCATGACGAGGCCCGCGAAATTGAGGCACGTCTCCCTTTTTGTGTCGCTTCCACTTTGGGGAGGTGGAACCTTCCTGAGCAATTCCCCGCAGGTTCATTTTTCGGTCCCAAAAGGCGAAGCTTTTTTATTTCCAGGTCCCTAAGGGGCACTGGCCACTTGGAATGCCCCAAATGTCAACAGGTTCAGAGCTGGAGTAGCTGCCGTATTGCTCCGAGTTCTGTTGGCCAATAGAAAGACCCCATGTCAGTTCTCCTCCTGGCAGGGCACCTTCCAGAGTTCTAAAAAGGGCGGCAGTTGTTCAGGGAAACCAATGGCAATAGGTTCAGGGAGACCAAAAGGGCAACAACAATTGCATTTCGTTCGGAGGCGATTGGGCCGATATTTGGAGGTCTCCCTGTTGTTTTTTTGGGTTTGGCTGCCATTTGAGTGATTTAAATAAACCAACAGAAATAAGACGCGAGATTATCTTGGAGCTGTTCGTTGCAGGGATGCATGACAAGAGTGCTTTATCCCCCAGACGTACGGCTTGCAACTTCATCCCAAACGCATGGCATGTTCACCAGCTGCGTCTGGAAATTTGGGTTGGTGCCTTCTAGGCTAATGACAATGCGGAATTACCCCGAGGATTAGCAAACCCCAGTTTATGCATGGGGGGTGCCCCATCTTAGAGGGTTCGTTTTTTGGGGGGACCCCCTGTGAATCCAGGTTGATGAATTCGGGGTTCGCGTTACGGAGCCTTCAGCAGACCTCAAGCGAGGTCTGGGGAATCCTGGGGAAACTCCGTGCAAGCCACGACAAGAAACGGGCGCAACCAGAACAGTGGTACAGATGTCCTTCGCTTTTCGCTATGTGCTCCGTCACGCAGCAGTACCATTTGGACCAACATTTTACATTGAAGAGAGTGTTGGGGGGCGTTGTTTGAAGGGTGCCTGTGGTTGTTCTTAATGAATGGTTAGAACACTCTCACATGCTTGGCTGCACGTATTATGAGTTGTTCATAGGAGGAATCCTTGACTCAGAGCCGATCAGAAGAGGGCAGTTTGCCTAGCTCTGATGGTTAGTAACAACAGTGCATATACTTCGCCCAAGGTGCAACGTTTGCCAAATGGCAAGATAGTGTGGATGGACGAAATCCTGCACAGATGCAAGAAGCCCTATGGATACTGGGAGAAGCCACCTATCAGCTGCGGGAATTTGTCCATCCACCATTGTGTCTAGCCATCACCTCAGCGATCAAGTTGATTTTCCGGGTGCCCTTAACGGACACGCACAGGCAGTTCAACTGGGTCAACATTTGCTGCCTGATATCTTCACCCTTCACTCCCTGAGTTGGACTTTTCTTTTCGGGACAACCAATTTCTGTGGCAAATAGAAAGTTTCTGGACGTTTTTTTCGGCCAATCCACTGGATCGGACTCTTGGGACGACCAACATTTTTCTGCGGCAACTCGAAAGTTGGACTCGGCCAATCCACTGGATCGGAGCTCAGTTGTTCAGTGGCTCCAATTATTTTTCCAACTTTTTTTTGGTGGCCAAGCCCCACTAAAATGGTCCAAGCCCCAAAAAAGGGGTTCGAATTAATTTTTTTCCAGGGTCACTGAACAACGGAGGGAGCTGATCCGAAGTTTCAGGTTGAACGGTTGGCCAAGACGCCCGGCTGTGAGCCACTTGCTCAAAACCCGGGTAGATGAAGGTTAGTAAGGGACAATCCCAGCCACAAATAGCTGCGGAATTCCGCCTTCTTATTTCTTGAAGCATGGTTCTCGGGGCAGACCTGGGGATGGGGTTTCTTCAACCCCCCCTCAAAAGAAAGGCAACCAAGGGGACCCAATTCAATTGATGACAATCCTGAACGGCAAACCTTCTGCTGGTTCTGCTTGAGCCCAACCAGTGTTTTTTGGTGGCTTGCCTGATTTTTTTAGGGTGGCTCCTCACTCCGGACCGCACGGCGCAGTGAGGTCCTTGCGGCAAACGGTGGGCTGGCTGGTCTGCCCCTTCCGTGCGTGGCTGAAAGCGAAAAAAATCAGAGAGAGCGGGTGAGGTCATTCAGCGGGCGCCTGCTCCGACAAAATCAGTTGTTCAGTGGCTCCAATTCTTTTTCCAACTTTTTTTGGTGGCTGCCCCACTAAAATGGTCCAAGCCCACAAAAGGTTCCCTTCTTTTCCAGGGTCACTGAACAACTGAGACAAAATCAGATGTGACTGGATTTCCCCCAAGAGTGGATCAATTTGCTGGGGTCCACGGAAGCGAGCTTCGAGAATCCGCGTCGCACCAGTTGAAACTCCTTTGACGATCCTTCAGTTTTTGCCTCGGTTGCCAGTCTTTTTGAGACTTTCTGAGGCTTTGTGGTGTGGCAAGTGGTTGCCAAAGAGATGCCGCCGCAAGTGGTTCCGGCAGGCTCCCAATGGCCCAGCGACATGTTTTTTGTTGGTTGGCAGAGGGGCCCTACTGTGGCTGGACAAACTCCTGCACAACTTGGCAGCTGGTTTATCCCAGTATTCAGGTGGGCAATTGCCCCCCCTTTTTGTTCCACCCGTTTGCCCCTTAAATCCAAATACCAAACAATTGTTTTTATTCCTTTTTTTCTGGAGGTCTGGGAAGGAGGTTGTAAAGGGAACCCTAGGTAATCTTTGAAGGCACAATGTGAGCAACGCTGCCCATTCCAGCTGGAAAGCGTGCAGGCAGTCTCCTATTCAAGATGCGCATGCCAGGGTGTCGGTGTTTCACATGGAAATTCCTGGAGTTGGGTTCGATTGTTGGACAGGCAAAAGGTTCAACATGGTTTTTGTTGCGAATCCACGCAACCAAATGCTGGGCTTCCCCTGTGCGGATGTAAACCACTGGTTTTCGATGGGGTCAGAGTCGAAGAGATGCTGGGTAAAACAGGGTCAATGACCAAAGGAACGCTAGGTTACTTGTCAAAACACATGTTTCGTCTTTTACGAAGTGCAACAAGGACGGAACCTCCTGGAGACCATCCGCGCTGGACGTGGCAAGCTTGTGTTGCCACACGTAAGAAGCTTTCCGATGCTCCGGGCTACGTCCCCCAAGTTTTCGGACAGCTTCACGACTGACTGGCTCAACGACGCCGCAGCCGTACTATGCCGTGGCCAGACGGGTCCTCAGCGAACTACCACCCGCTCGAGCCGGAGATGACTTTGCAGCTGGCAATGCAATGGTTTCCGCAAGTCTTCGCGGACAGCAAAGCGATTCTATCTTGGGGCGGAGGCCAAGCTATAAGCTACCCAGACCAATTCTGGGCGCATAAGTCAATCCCGGGCGGTGTGTATATAAACGAAATAGCAAACACAAATCAGGGGGGAGGTTCCAAGCCAAGTTTTATAATGAAGTCAACCTTCGGATCATACCAAGAGCTGTCCGCTGTCGCCTGAGACTTCGACGATCACAGCGAGGAGCTTCCGGAGCCCCACTGGCACGTCATTTCTCGCAGGTTTTTTGCTTTTTCTTCGGCTGTGTACCCTGGTTGGTTTTAATGGGAAGACGGCGGAAGACTAGTCAATCAGGTTTACCCCGAAAAGCGTGGTTGGGATTTGAACCTATGGGTAGATAGCCGCACCATTTCTTCAGGTTACCCGGAAAAACGTGGTTTGGATTGGTTTGGGTTTGGATATGAACCTCTGGTTCTTGTGGGTAGATAGGAAACCACTCCCTAACCACCACCAACCCACCGATCCAGCTCCAAAATGCCTTTCCCGAACCCCAGATTTGGGCCAAGAGTGTGAGCTGCAAGCATGGAGAACGCCTCCTTACCCCAGATACCCACTTGGACTTTCGGTATAAATCGAAGCACTGTATGCTTTCTATGATGAATACATGCATACATCCCAAGATAGGGGGTACCAGATGGACTAGTACCTCCTCTTGAAGACAGAGGTTTGCAGCATTCCCTTAAGCCCAAAAAGACTGGTGTTACAGAGTACGTGTCTGTATCTTTCATCCTTTGGAGTCAGTCATCCGAGGGGATTCTCGAAGACAAGACTCCTCGGCAACCATGGGCACCCTCCTTGCTGATACCTGGCGGTTGAAAAATCAACAAGCGCCTCAATTTCCAGTTGGGCGAAAACACAAAACAATAGCTGTTGGTTGAGGCCGATTGAGATTGTGGAGGCACAGTCTTGCGGGGGATTTGACAACCAGTTGCTACGTCTCCTCGCAAAGTTCGCAGATAGCAAATAAGCTCACCTCAAAACCATGCCTCTTCACACGGAGACCTAACCCCTGCTGCTCCATCACTTCAGATCCCAGCAAGGATGCAATTTGAGTTTGTCTCCACGCAGGGAGCCCCTAGATATGTGTTTATCTTTCGCTTGGCCTTCGCTCAAAGACAAAGAACAAGTCCCACAGCTTTCGGAGAGAAAGACATCCTTCGGGCTCTCACGCCGCTTGAGCTCAACTTAACTTTTTCTGTTTGAAGGTGCCGGTGGTTGGTTCGCTTGAATGGGAAGCCAAAAGGGACGCCAACCATTTTGGAGGGGTCCCCGCCCTCAAAAAACGCATAGGTCTTGCCTGCAGACCTCAGCTCGGATCAATGACTCGTCACGCACCTCATTATTTGAGGCCTTCGGGCCAGTCGGTTCAAAGGCCTTCATATCCAGGGGCTCGGGGTCCTAGGGAAGTGACCTCAAAACTTGCCTCTAAATTGGTCGTTCAAAGAGAAACAACCCCCAAAGTAATCGAAGAAAAACGGTTTGGATCACCCCTCAACAGAAACGCTTGTACGGGAAACAACCCCCCAAAGTATCCAACAACCATTTTTGACAACCCCTCAACATGTTGTTTCTTCCTCAGAATTAGCTCCCCCTTTTTTGGGGGGGGTCCCCTTTGTTTTCCCTCGAACCAGGCAAAGGTTTGTTGCTGGAGCGCCGGCGGAATCGCGCGAAAATGGCGCGCCGCAGCCGCTGCCAGGCACTTGTGGCCCTCCAAGTTCCTACGTCAGTACTTTGCAGATGTCCGGATGCTGGCGAGGAGCGCTTTCGTAACAGCCCAGTGGGCTGCTTCCATTTGCTTCCATTGCCAAAAACACGTGTTATTTTTCCAGGAATCTTCATGAAATTGAAGGCTGCTTCCCATTGCTTCACCGGTCACAGGGAATGTGAGAGGAAGGGCTCCCGACTCCCAATGTTTGTGAGAGCCGCTGCCCAAGAATGCCTGGCATCGAACCCAACAGGGAAAAGCAGAAGGGTTTCTGGGTTGGATGATGGGTGAGTGGGGTTCGTTTTTCAGGGTTGGTGTACATGTCTGGTGTGTATGCTTTATATGACTTCAGAGAGCCAAGACCATAACCGCACAGGTTTTGCCATGGCACACATTGAGGTTCTGCATGTTATGTCTATATGTTTGAGGCTCATACCTGCAGCTTAGCATGCGTTAGCATGGACCCCCCCCAACAAAAAACTTCAAGACACACAAACAATGATTTGTAGCGGACACCTTTTTGGGACTCGGACCCCCTTTTTGGGGTTCCACGTCAAATTTGAACTTAGATGTTGGATTCGCCAAGTTAGTAAGTGGTGATCACCACTTGGGTTCTACCCTAACCCCACACTCATGGGGGATTTAGCAGCAGGTTACAACATCGACCCAAGCAGTTGGAGTATCTACAGCTCCTCCCCGAGAGATACAGAGGAGCGGAGGGACGGAAGTCTACACGCCGGAGATGGTGGACGAGGCGCCCGGCACGGCTCGCGGCGAGCGGCGGGCGCGGCTGGTGGATGGATCCTTTTGCTGCGAGCATGGGCAAAGGCTCACCCTTTCAGTTGTCCAAAGCCAAGCTTTTAGCCTTTCCCGCTGCGACCACTACTCAAGGCCCCCCAAAACCTGCTACGCCCAGGTCCCTTGAGCAGGTGAGATGATAACGTTTCTTTTCATGAGTCCAGATACCCAAAAAGTAATGTTGCTACAGCGGGCTGTACAAACTGGAATCCAGAGTCCTGCTTGCAGGCCAAGAGCTTACTCGCTAACTAGCTTGGCGAGTCTTTCGCACCCAAGTACCCTTTCAACCACCAAAGGTCACCATACCCCCTATTCGGTGGTTTGGCTTCCAAAGGAGCGGGGGTTCAAATCCTTTTTTTCCAAACCGCCAATCCCAGCCACTCATTACGGGGGCACCAATCAACTTGCGGGTATAGGAAGGGAACGACAACGAGCCCGACTGGGAATGAACCGTTGCGGGCGCGGAAAAACGAGAACCTGGACCCTCAAACTACCCACAAAAATGGGATATCACCCCATAATTTTGGGGGTCAAACCCATTTTTAAGGGAATTTTGAGGGTTCAGGAAGCAACCAACGAAGAAGGAGCTCGAAGCGATTTTTGCCTCCCAGAGGCTCCAATTCGATTGGGGCTTCAAACAACCTGGTTTTGAGACCGGGTCCCAACCACCCAGAACCCGGGGTGGCGAATGCTTCGGGGTCGGGTCTTCCATAAGCCGAAGCCGATCGGAGCCTCTGGGAGCTTGAAAGGAGGACCTTGGAGGTTCTCCAGGAAACCCGACCACAAAATCCCGAAGTAGGCTGATTGGAAACCCGGGTTCACTTTTGATAGCCCCCAGAACCAGCCAAGGTAATGACCCCAGAAATACTAGCCATTCTCTGATCAGACCCCGCGTGAACCGACTCATTTGGCCATGGGTCATACCCCATTCCGAACCATTTTGGGGCGGATGAGCACCCATGTACCACCTATTTTGATGTTCACCAGGGGTTTCCTGGGGCCTAATGTGAACACTTGCAGGGGAGTAGGATGGTTGTGGGTCAAAACCATGTTAATCCATTTTCCCATTTCGGCGCCGCCCGCTCGCTCGGATGAACACCCGTCGGATGCTTCGGATGCTGCGGGCGCAGGTCTCCAGCGCCTGGGCGTCGTCCGAGCAGGAGCTCTCAGCGCTGGTCCTCCGCCCGGCCTCCCGGGAGAGCGGGACGACGAGCAGGGGAGAGCGCCGGGGGGAAGGCCGAAGGCCGGCCCTAGGAAGCGATCCTCGTTCTTTTTGTTTGTTTCTTGTTTGGTGGGGTGGGTTCCGATTTTTCCCAAAAGGGGTATGGATGATGGTCGGGCGTGTGGTGGTGGATCGTTCTTTGGCTTGGGCTGCATCTCGAAATGGATCCGCGGGGGGATTTGCCACGGGAAGTGTGGTTCCAAAGCCACGTCGGGGGTCCGAGCCGAGACACATAGGATCACTCCACTGGCTGGGAAACCGCAAAAAAAAACTCGATGTTTCAAGCACATGGGAAAAAGTGGATCCATGGTCAAAACTGGGGCCCAAAATGGAACATCGATCCACTTGCACGGTGTTTTATGGTTTGACCCAGCACACTGAACTACTCCCCTGGCAATTTGTTACATGGGTGTGCCTTTTTTTTTGGGTTGCCGGGGGTCCGATTTTCCCAAAAGGGGTATGATGCTTGTTGGGTGTTTGGTGGTTGAGGAACGTTTTGTGCGTGGCTTCGGTTGTTTGAAACCATACAACAACTTCGAGTTTTTGTTTTTTTCTACTTCCCGGAGAAAAAAAAAGAAGGAACAAAAAAACAACAACCAAAAGGGTCCCCAACAAAAGACACGTCCAAGTCCCTTGGCAAACCAGGGCCATGCTGGCAGAACCAAAACTGTAGTCTCCTCCAAGTCTATATTTCAAGGTTGACCAAAGAAGAACCAGACCACGGGGGCAAAATCCCTTCTTTCTGGGTGGTGCTTTCGGGTCCAGATTCAGTGGGGCCAAGTCAGCTTCCGCGAGGCTTAGAGCACTGGAGCCACGAGAGCCGTCGGAACGGCGGTCGCATGAAGGCGCGGGGCGGGGTCGGTGGGACGCCCTTCTTGGGATGGGTTCAATTGGAGACTCAACGGAAACCACACCCATTTTCTGGGATGTCGGTTGGGCAACTGACTGAATTTCTTTGGGGATCATGTGACTCCCTGGATGAAATGGGTTCAAAGGGGAACTCCAAGGAAACCACGCATGTTCTGGGATGTCCAGGGGGCTAGGGGTGTGGATTGGGTGTGGGTGGGGTGTGGATTGGGTGTGGGTGTGGGAGTGGGAGTAGGGGTTGGACTGGGGCGGGGTGGAGGTAGAGATGGGGTGGGGTGGTCAACTGACTGAATTTCTCTAAAGATAGCGACCCCTGGATGAAATAGAGTCTGAATTCAAAGCCTGGCCTTTTTGCAACCATTTGGCTCAGTTGTTCAGTGGCTCCCACTAAAATGGTCCAAGCCCAAAAGGGTTCCCTTTTTTTCCAGGGTCACTGAACAACTGAGTTGAAACATGTTACTTTTTCAACACCAAAATTTAGGGAAACCACCATTGACAAGTTGCAATTGTTCAGGTGGATCCATTGTAAGGATCCCTGCCTGTTCGAAGCTGGGATACCAAAAGAGGGGCTCCATTTCTCAAAAAGACGAAGAAGTCGTAGCAGAATCCGACAAATATGTTGAGCACTTGTCGCCCATGGGCCACATGGGGTCCAATTGTACCTGCTCAGTTGAAGACATGCCGCCCTTTTCACCTGTTGGTTTCCTGTGTTTGGCAAGCGTTCCCACCCCCAAAAGGTGAGACATAAGGTGGACGTTTCATTTCTGGGCAACCTGGTTCGGGGCAACTGAGGCTGGCAACAAGGTTGGAATGGCGAATCTGTGGATCCGCTGGATACTAAAAGAGGACTGAAAGATGGTTCGAAATGAGCCGACAGGGGGGAAGAACTTTTCTTGGTGGCAAGCCCAGCCATCCGGTTCCTTAGCTGTTCAGCCTTTGAATGCTTAGTGGAGATTTCCACTTAGCCCACTAAAAGTTCGTCACTTTTCGCGGGGCATCTGAAAACGGACAGCCCAGTCTTGTGAAATCCACAGAAATCAACTTGGTATCCCAGTAGTGCCCTTCTCTACCATTCCCTTTTTGGTTGGGAGATTCGGCTCCCCTACTAAAATAGACATCCTGAAAAAAGTGGGTAACCAAAAATTCCAACACCTCAGGACCTCTACTGGAGGACCTAGGCCAGCCTCCGCCCCGTTTTGGTCCATGCCCCGAGCCGAGGGTGAGCTTTCCCTAGCCTTGGAAGCTGGAGCCTAGCCTCGCAAACGGAACCGCTCAGTTCAGTGGCCGCCAAAGAAAACACAAAAGATTTGGAACCCTTTTGGGGGGGTGTTGGCCATTTGGGGAAGACCGAAAGGTCATTTCAGGTGGCAAAAAAAACCAGTCCCTTGGTTGTTCAGTGACGAAGAAACGGGAACCGAACGTTTTGGGGCTTGGACCGAATTTTTAGTGGGGCAGCCACCAAAACAAAGAAAATCATTGGTGCCACTGAACAACTGAGGAAACATCCCAATGTTAACCCCGGATTAAG